GTGCTTCTCAGACAATGATCTAAACCCATCTGTGCTTAAGTATATATGCAAACAATTCCATATCAGATGATAGAATGATTCTAGTGGGAATGTCAATTCAAAGAGTCATCATTATTTATAAATAATGATTGCATTTGTTGCACAAGTTGGAATTTAAATTATGACGTGAAATTAAACAATAGCTCAGCTACAACTTAAATGGCTGGTCTGCCATTTATTGATTCAAATGGTATTAGATTGGCAGCCCTAGGTTGAAGTAATTATGAGAGGATGCGATCAAATCACTCCTCTTTAAATAAACAAATTGCAAATATTTGCAAATAATTACAAAGAAATGGCAAGTAACACACTGAATTAAATGTGATATTTTGAATTGAAAAAATGAAATAGTATTCTCTTGTAAGATGTATTGAGCATTGTTAACAAAAGTCAGTGCACTGCCAGCCACAGATAGCACTGGTGCTATTAATGTGTGCAAAAATAAGTGATAAATATATGTTTATTTCACAGGGATATTTCACAATCTCCATATATTCCTGTAGTTTGGACAATGCATAGATCATGGGTTTGATTCATAGAGATGGCATGAACTGAATAAAGTGTACACCTTGCATGCAGTGTACACTGCTTTGGATAAAACTGCATAAATGTAAAACTAGGTGTGCACTTTCTGCATGCTAAAGAGCCATTTTAAGTGGCTGTGTTGAAGTGATGCTGTAAAGTACACCAGTTCATGATAATCTGCTGCACTCAGAAATGACCTGAAAGTTGGCAAATTGTGGCAAGCAAATTCTATTCAGCACAGATGTTTTGCTCATGCTTGCGGTGTTACCAATTTGCATAAATCATTTAGTGAATTGGGTGTTAAAACAATACCGACAGCGTGGGTAAATAAACAACGCTATCAGCAGACGTGGGTCAATCTTAGTTAATTCCCTACTTTATCTCTCACTTACTTTTTGTCCTTTCTTTCTTTACCGCTTCTCCTTCTTTTTTCTGCCTCCCTAGTCTTTTACAATAATAAAGAGTAATGTGTGTGTGAGGGAGAAGCAGCAGGCAAATGCAATAAAACACATAGCTGACAAGATCTTAATTGAGCTGCTGGATTCAGCTCAAGAACACACACACACAAATCTAATAAGAGCCCAGTGAAGTGAGGGAAGGGGGAATGGAGAGGGAACGGGATGGAGGGCATCGAAAAATTTACTAGTTGGGGGAGAGATGGAGAGCGTGAATTCAAGAGTGAGTTTAGTTAAGAGGAGAGCAGGGGCCTCATGTATAAAACTTTACGTAGATTTCATCCTAAATGTGTGCGTACGCACAAAAGCTAGATTTTGCGTACGTACAAAAGTTTTCAGATTTATAAAGTCATGCGTACGGCAGAACCTGCGAAAAATTCCATTTGTAATACCCAGTCAGCGGAAGATTGTGCGTACATGAATCTCCACCCCGTCTCCTCCCCGAAATAGCCATATATGGAGCTTACAACGCCTAGTTTTAATATGCATAACGTAATCTGCATAACATTTCCATGCATATTCCATCCACGTGACACCATGTTTAACGCAGTTAAGGGTACAATGCGTTAGGAAAATATGAGATACGTACTATAAATGATTTTTGAGACATCACATTGCTATTCAAATGTATGCAATTTTGCCTATAAAGTAAACATATATTTTAGAATGTTTATAGCCTATATTTGAATAGAGATAGGCCTTATATTTTTGCAGTGTAAATAAGACTGACTCACCATGTCAATAACAAAACATTTTGAAAATTAAACGTGCTTATCTTACAGTTTTCCTTCAAATTCTATCTTTTAAATAGAATGTGTATGTCACAATATTGGGAAGAAGAGCACGAATAGGGTTATCATTAGGCTACTGTCTGTGCGCGACACCTGTGAACAGAGGTTCTAAAGTACTGTCATCAAACCAGCCAATGGACTGTTTGATCAACGAGTGCATCCTTATGTCTGTCGTTACCGTCTATGTTCCAAAGCATCAGACGAATCAAGTTCACATCAGTGATCATTATTCACTAGTGGTTGTAATTACATCAGCAGATTCAGCGCTTTCACGTTATGGTATTACAACTGTGAAATTACAAACAAAAAATACACATTCTGAGACATGAACTGAAATGAATTGTGAATTTTATTAACATTAAATCGTCCTCCTCCCATTTTCACCTCAAAATTATGGGGAAGCTGTGCCTCCCCCGACGAGCCGCCACTGGTCATATTTAATCTAAATGTGTATGTCAAATGTAAAACAGACTGTAAAATCATTCTGTTTGCTTCATTATTTCACTCACTCCAGTAAAAGAGTGCGTACGCATGGTCTAGACCAGGGATCCTCAAATCTGGCCCACGAGATCCACTATCCTGCAGAGTTTAGCTCTAACCCTAATCAAACACACCTGAGCATGCTAATCAATGTCTTCAGGATCATTAGAAAACGTCTCTGAAGTGTGTCAGAGCTCGAAACACGGCCAGCATTTCCCGGCAGTTGATGTGCCAAAAGAGATGATGGCCTTCCCACAGACCCTAGGCAGAGCGACCACTCATGACCGCTCCCCAGCCCGTGAGAGAGGCAACCGTCGTTAGCATTACGCGACGACAAGGAGCCCCTAACGTCGGGCCTTGAACCAGGAACCAACGTTTCTTCCACACGTCTAAGGCACGTAAGCATCGCCGCATGACCTTGATCATGCGAAGCAGATTCCCCCTCGGGGAAAATCCCTTGGTTCTGAGCCACCACTGCAAGGGTCTCATGTACAGCAGGCCAAAAGGTATCACGTTGGACGCCGCTGCCATCAGGCCCAACAGCCTCTGAAACTGTTTGACAGTGAGTGACTGGCCTTCTCTTACTCTCGTGACTGTCGTGAGGATTAATAAGTGGTTCTCTGTAGTGGAGAAAGAACACTCTTCTTGGCGTTTAGTCTTAACCCCAGCTCTCTCATATGGGCGAGGACCACATCTCGATCCGCTTCAGGGCACCGAACTCGCT